GGAATTTTTTTTTTCTACCTGACATTGAGCAGTGTCTCTGACTCATTTGGAATGACAACTGCTCAAAACAGGTATATAACTCAAGGTATTATAAGTTATTTTTCTGTTAGTTGCTTTCTATTAGAACTAGTTACAAAAATGAGAAATTCCAATTAGAGAATTTATAAAGGGAAAACTTACTATAAAGGTTGTTAAGAAATAAATAGATGTGGGAAAGGAGAAACTAGGACAGTGGTGCTGAACTTGGGGCATGCGTGCCGCAGCAGGCACTTTGTATCATTGAAGGCTCTAAAAGGTCACTGAGCTAGAACTAATGAATTCCCATGATGTTGACTGTAATTTGGATTCTGTCTTCTTTCCTGTCCCTTGTAGTTTTCTCAAGTGTTCAGTGTTACTACTTTAGCCTCCCTAATGCACCTGAAGGTGTTCCGTGTTTAGTTCCCCTCTTATAAAACTTTAGAACTTTTTTTTTTTTACAAAATTGAAGGTTAAAATTATTTTGTTATTTAAAGTCCTCTTTTTTGCTCCAGCTTCTGACTGCATTATCCTCTCTACATAATGAATAGTACACTGGTTAGGTCAGGAATAGGAGCTTCTGCCTGAATAATAATAATTCTTTTTACTAATGTTTCATTGTATTTTTATACTTAAGGTCTAAGTAGACATTATGAACTTGAATTGACTGTGAATCTTCTTCTATTCCTAGTACCTGTTGTTGTATCTATGGATATATTAGGCACTTGTTTATAATTTAGTTTACCACAAAAATAAGGTTATTTAGCTTTTTTTTTTTTGTTTTTAGTGCTACTGGGTTCATAAATGATAGGAAAGTGCTCTTTCACTGGACTACATCTCCAGACTCAACAATTATTAATAAATCTTTATATTAGATACTTGTTTCAAGATAATAGCCTTTTTCCTGTTTTCTTTTTGTAAGAGCTGTAGTAGAGTGTGAGATTGGGTTTACCATTACCCAACTAGAGTGACAGTTGCCACACTTCCAGATGTAGGTGCATTATAATAGGGCTGCCCTGTAGGGCAACCAATAGAAGCTGTCTGCAGACTCTTTGAAAAGGTGTCCTTCAGCTTGGCAATGTGCAGCATAGGGCACGGTCATGATTATTGTCCTCAGCTTTTCCTAGCCATCATTTCAGAGTCATGTGCTAGAGCCTATGAAATAGTTCAGTGACACAAGGGCCTGCCTGGCAAGCACAAGGTCCTGAGTTCAATCCCCAGGACTAAAAAAACAAAAGACAGTTTTGTGCTGGATGACTCTGTGTGGCTCTCCTTCCTTAACAGTAATAATGACAGTGATACCACATGTGGTCCTTGCATACATTGGACAGTGGAATAATTTTAATGTGGACTACTGTAAAACAAGGATAGGGCATACTGGCCCATTTGGTGGTGGACAAATAACTCTCTTCAAGGAATTCCACATACTTTTCCCCTCTGACCAAACCTCTGCTTTTCCATTAGATCTCTTCTGTGTGAAACCACTCCTATAGCAAAACGACAACAATAATACTCATTTCTTTCATGGGTGTGTTTATGTGTATATATATTTGCTTATTCAGTTCCTTTCCTTTGCCTGCCTGCCTGCCTGCCTGCCTGCCTGCCTGCCTGCCTTCCTTCCTTCCTTCCTTCCTTCCTTCCTTCCTTCCTTCCTTCCTTCCTTCCTTCCCCTTTCCCTTTTGACCCCCTCCTTCCTTCCTTCTACAGGGTCTCATTCTGTAGCTCAGGCTATCACTCAAAGACCTTGACTTCACTATGTAGTCCTGGCTGGCCCTAAGTTCATAGTGATCAGGGAGTTGTGATACAGGTGTGCACCAACAGGCCTGGCATTTACTCATTTTTTTTGCTGCTGCTTTCTACGTATAGGCTTGCCTTAGAAAGATGGTTTTTATGTTTATAGATAACAGCAAAGATTTTAGCTACTGTATTTATCAGCATTGTCATGTTCATAAAAGCATGTGTGATTAACTTAGACTATGATATTCTGCATCAGATCAAAATGAGTAGGTAAACTGGGCATGGTGGCACATGCCTCAATCCCAGCACTTGGAACTTTGAGACAGGAGGATCACTATGAGTTTGAGATCAGCTTGGGGGCTAAAAAAGTGAGCACAAGGCCAGCCTGAACTGCGTAGCAAGACCCTGTCTCTAAATTAATTAATTAGTTAATTAAAAAATAGGCAAATGATCTGTACAGTATAAGAAAATTAGTTATGCTTCTGCCACATTCTGAGTATAAACATTGTACAGTGGGTATGAGTTAGTAAAGATGGGGGACATTTCTTTAATTCTTTCACTGGCCAAGTTTGTTTATATTGTTTATCTAATAGTCCAGATTGATTTCGTTTTGAAACTTGACAATGGATCTTTACTTTAAATGTTTGTGAATTGGGGCTGGGGAGATGGCTTAGTGGAATAAGCGCTTCCCTGGCAAGCGCAAGGGCCTGAGTTCAATCCCCAGTTCCGCCAAAAGAAAAAAGAATGTTTGTGAATAAAAAAAAGTTTGTTTGTTTTTTTTTCTCTGTTTTGTTTTTTGAGATGGTCTCACTGTGTAGCCAGGCTGGCCTCAAACTCATGACAATTCTTCTGCTACAGCCTCTGGAAGGCTGGGATCACTGGTGTGCGCCACTGTGTCTGGCTGTGTTTGTGCAAAATTATGTAACACTGTTATGATAAACTGAGCTTGTATCACTATATCTTTTTGGGGTGGGGATGATAAGCTCAGTTTTTTTTACACTACATTCATATCTATCAGCCAGACAGATTTAACATGTATAAACCTGTTCTTATACAAGGCCCCTGGTAGTTATTGCCTAGAGGCATGTAAGATTTTGTTCATGGAGGTGGGGTATAAGAAAATGGTGATTCAAAGCCAGGTGTGGTGGCACATGCCTGTAATCTCAGCACTTGGGAGGTTGAAGCAGGAAGATTGCAAAGATTGAGACCAGCCTGAGATATAAATTGAGCTCAAGGACAGCCTGAACTGTATAATGGCCTTGTGTCTCAAATAGATGAGAAAGAAAGAATAAATGGTGGTTCAAATATACATATTTGGTGGTACTTATTTGGTTTATACTTTACCGATACAAATTAGCAGTATCCACACAGGTATAGTGGGCTATAATATAATGCTTTTGTGTTGGTGTGATTTATTTGTACAGAGAAAATAAAGGAAAAAAGAGAAAGGGAACTTTAGTGATGGGACCTATCTATCAATTTATGTGGCACTTGCAGACTTCAAATTGAACAGAAAAGGTCATTTTTGGTCATTGGCATATAGCAAACATTAAATGTGATTTAAACTGAATGGGAAATGTAGAAAAATAGATGTTTTGGGGAAGAACCTTGTGAACAACAGAAACGCTGGAATTGACTAGGTCACACAACCCCATTGTTCAGAATCATTTTGTGTTACCAGCAGTATTTACAAATTACAAAATGGTTTGAGTGCGCCCCCTCCCCCCGCCCGTTTTTTGGTACAGGGTCTCACTGCACAGCTCAGGCTGATAGTGTTCCTCCTGTTTTCAGTCTCCCCAGCCCTGGGATTACAGGTGTGTGCTACTGGTCATTGTGGCTGCTCAGTGCTCCTGGGGGCAGGGCCTGTGCTGCATAAGGTGCTGGGGATCAGACCCTGAGCACTGAGCTGTCTTGCTAGCCCTTGAATGCCCTTCTGTTAGTTTTGTGGCTTAACCTTTTTTTTTTTTTTTTTTTTTTTTTTTTGTACTGGGAAAAGAACTCAGGACCTTGCCAAGCAGGCACTGTGTCACGCAATTATATCCCCAACGCAACTTTGTGCCCTAACTTTAACCACAGTTTGTGGCTCTTATTTTAAACATTAATCAGAATTTATGTGAGAAATCATTTTTGTGATTTTTTTTTTTTTCCTGGTACTGCTTGTGTTTTTTCCATTAATTCATCATTTGTTTCATGTGGAAATTCACATAATTATAAAATGGAAGTATTCAAATTTTTCTTTGAAACTTTGACTTGAGGTGTAAATAGGAATTTCTCATATTTTAACCACAAGGAAATACCACAAGGAAAAAAATGAAAATAATAGGTTGATATTTGAACCCTATATCCAATCCATACTTTGTTGTTTCACAGCAACTTAATAAAGATTTTGAGTGAATATGAGTATTAAATTTTGTTTTTTTGATACAGGGTTTTGCTTTGTAGTGCATACTGGCCTCGAACTCAATAAAGTAGCCTAGGCTGGCATTAAATTCATGGAAGTCCTCCTGCCACAACCTCCGGAATGCTAGGATTTCTGGTGTGTCTTCCATGCTAGGTTTAGCAGTCATACATTTAATTCAGGATTTTGGCCACAAATTCACACTAATCCTCCTGCCTTAGCCTTCGAGTGCTGGGGTTACAGGCACGCGCCAGCCAACACACCTGGCCTAGGTGCCATCTTAATATGACCAATCACTGTCTTATTTCAAATGACTGTATTTCATATAGTTTATAATGGCTGTAATAAAAATTAATATAAGATAAATTCACAAAGAAGCATCTTTATACATATGTGAGCATTTCAATGTGTAAAAACCATTTAGTTTGGGGAGCTGGAGAGATAGCAGCTTTTAAGTGCCTGCCTGGCAAGCTCAAGGTCCCAAGTTCGATCTCTCGAACCACACATACATAAAAATTAGTTTGGTAGTGGTGATAAAGCCAGGAATCAAATATGTTAGTTGGGGCACTACTGCAAGGAGACGGAAAGAGCTATAATTTACCTACTTCTGTCTCTTAGATTTTTTTCTCAGTTTCCCCTCTCACATGCTTTTTCTTTAGAAGTTATAGAGTCATCCTGGCAAGATTAGCAGCAGAGATTTGTTAAGTAGTAGATTGGTAGTAAATTGAGAAGCTGGGCTTGAACAAGACACAAAGTTTTGTGGGTTCATTTGGTTCTCAAAGTGCTTAATTCTGTTATTGAAAAAATTTGTCTAAGTCAGATTTTTAAAATTTTTTTTTTTATTTTTCAGCCAAACCCAACAGAAAGCTTACTTTTCTCTACCTAGCCAACGATGTCATTCAAAACAGCAAAAGGAAGGGGCCGGAGTTTACAAAAGATTTTGCACCAGTTATAGTGGAGGCTTTTAAGCATGTTTCAAGGTATGATAATTGTTTGCTATGCTATGCAACCTGTTTTGAATGTGTTGTGTATTTTCTTTTGCTGAAATTTACTTTAAAGCGTTACAATAAAAACAAGGTGTGTTTTTAAAACTTTCATTTGAAAAGACATCTCTAATTTGCCTTTGTATGTATGCTAAGTGCATTTTGAGAAGATTAGCTAAGGTCATTTGGAGTACTTGAATCACAGCTTTCTTTGAAAGACAGTAACTGCTACATTGGAATAAACTCGAGAATGAATAAAGGTATTGCATTGTAAATTTGTGTGCAAATTGTATAAAAATGAGAATTTGTTACCAATATTTCTGGATATACTTACTACTGTACTCTTTCCCTCATCTTTATATGAGGAAACCTTATATATTTCCTTATAAAAACCTTGTATTTTGGACTTATGTGTAAACATAAGTAGTATATAATTCTTTATGCCTATTTTAAAAATATATTCTAATTTTTAAATTTCTTTTATCATATTCTGTAGGGACTTAAAGTTCAGCATATCAATACTTGATGAAAAATACCTGTACCATGTTATGCCTAAGATGTTTGATATTCAGACAGATAGTGAGGTTAAGCTCAACAGCCTAGGTTGTATGGTAATAACAATAAGCTTGTCTTCTGGATGGTTAACAACCTAAGTTTGCAGACCAAAATTAGAGAAAAAGGAGGGCTGCAAGGAAACCAACTTTTTGGCCCTAGCCTTCCAAGGTCAGTTAAGACTCAGGACATATGAGAACTTGTACTGTTACATCATGTAACTCGGTAGTGTCCCAAATTTTCTGATCAAGGAGATTATGGGGCCAAAGAGGAAAGTGATCGATGATGTAGAGTGTGCCTATGGAGAGAAAACATTCTCTCAGGCTTTCACAGAGAGCACATTGGCCAAGCAATGGCTGTGACTCATCCACATGGCTGACACTGACAAAAGGTCCTACAATCTGAGGTACAGGATCTCAGGATAAATCCTGAGGGGATTTCACTGACCTTATCAGACCCAAAAGTTACAACTCTTGTTGCATAGGTCCTGCTTTACCTTGGTCTTAACCATCCAGCAGAAAAGTATAAAAACGAAATATAAGAAGTAAAGCCATGCGAAGACCCAATACTATATGGGCTACTGGACTCTTTTAGAATATTTTGCTGAGTTTATACACTTATAATATTCAAATAACGGAACTTAATGAAAAAAGGGTATACAGATGAATGTCCATTTTGTATTTGTGTATTCAAAGTGGCTAGGATAGATACATAGTTACATTCTCTTAATGAATAGAGGCATTTGTTCTAATGGTGTTTGTAAATAGAATATCATGTCCGCATCTTGTACAGCAATTAACCACTAGGAAGAATGTATGCAATGTGTTAATTATTGAAACTGTCCTACCAATTTGATTTGAAACTCTCTCATTGCTATTTGTTTCTCAATGAAATTATGAAAAAACACAGAACACTATTCAGCCATAAAGAAGGATAAACTTGAGATATTTCTTTTTTTTGTCATAATTTTATTGATAAACATCAGTGAGACAGTTTCAAATCAAATTGGTGAGATATTTCTTGAGATTGTATTTTTATGTAAAATAAATCATGGACACATGGAAAAAAATTTTAAAAAAATGTCAGCAAAAAAAAAAAAAAAACCAAACCCTTATAATTTTAAGGTCTTTTGGTGTTAGGTTATATTTCTTAACATGTTTAAATGTTGGAAATAAAGAATACTTAGGTAATACTAAGCTTGTTGTGAAAATCTGTACTTTAGCTTATTGCCCTTTAAATACTATTATTAGTATTTAGTATTCAGTCTAAATGATAGAATTCAGTGGCAAATGGTGCCTGTGGTGATTTATAGAAGGGTAAAAATTTACTTAGCACATTTGAAAAAAGTGTCAAATATTGTTGCATTTTGCTTTCTGTTACTTATTCTTCAATTTAGATGTTAAGTTCTGCCATCTTTTTTGGGGGGGTATTGGGACCTGAACTCAGGACCTTGCCCTTGCCAGGCAAGTGCTATGCTACAGAGCTATATCCCCAGCTCCTACCATCTTTTTAAATATCAGTGTCTTAGCGTTAAGTCCTTTGCATTCTTTGGGAACCATATTCTTTTTTTCTTTTTTTAAAATGTATTTAGTACAGGGTTTCACTACACAGATCGGACTTGTAGTGATTCTCCTGTTATCAGCCTGCCAAGCACTGGGATTATAGGCGCACACCACCACATCCAGTCTCAACCACAGTCTCAGCACACCTGGGCTAGGGCCAGTATGACACGTCGGGGATTGAACCCCATCTACTTCATTCTGTCTAAGCAGGCACTTTAGTCCGCTAAGGTATCTGGCTGGCCCTTTTGGGGACCATATTCTTTACTTACCAACTTGATAATTTTGTACGCTGTATGTATTTGTTGTGCATACTCTAGTGACTTAAAATTTTATTCTATCCGGATTTCTTTCCTTAAACACAGACCTGTATGTACACTGATCTCTACTTGTATGTATCTTAGATATCTTGATAATAAGCTTACTATTTCCGTGCTTTCGGCCAAACCTGCTGCTGCCTTGTCAGTAAATGGCAGCTCCATATAGATTCCAACCCAAGAAATTAAGTGTCCTCTTCAACTCTCACTTCGTTCATTCTTTGTGTTACACATAACACGTTCCCTTAGTTTTCTTTCCCTTTTAGTTATTGAAACAACCCTTCTGTGTAATTGCGTTAAGTGTTCTCTATTGTTTAATCGCTTTGCAAAGCTTTATGTAGTTCCAGAGCCAATCATAACACTCCCTTGGTTTTCTGAGGTCTTAAGCAAGACTTACTGGCTCCTCATGGCACTGCCTCTCTAGACTACTTTCTCACCTTGCTTCTGAATGCAGTCTGTGATCTACAGTTTGTTCTAGCAGCCTTTTCTTATTCTTGCTGCTTTTTATGTATGTTTTTAGTCTTCTAGAATTCAGTAAAGTGTTTACTGATCACCTACTATGTGCCTGAGGATGTAGTAGTGAACAAAACAAAGTTCTCCTCTGGTGCTGTGTTTCAGAAGATGTACAAGATAATGGCTAGACAAGCAATTACTATTACTACTATTATTATTTGTCTTTTTGAGACAGGGTTTTGCCATGCAGTTCAGGCTGGCCTTGAACTCACTTTGTAGCATAGGCTAGCCTCTAACTCAAGGAGATCCTCCTCCATCAGCCTCACTAGTGCTGGCTTGGATTATAGGTGTGCACTAGGCAGCACACCTGGCTTAGACTGACAATTATATATTATATTGTCACATGACATATCTAAAGAGACAAAGTGGGGAAACAGAAGGTATGAGGATGTTCAATTATATGACATGTTGAACAACAGCTATTGTGGGGAAGTGACATTTAAACAGAGCCTAAAGGAAGGGAGGAATAATGCCATTTGCTGTCTAGAAGGAAAAGATTCTAGGCAAAGAGAGTATCTGATAAAAATAGTGAGGCAGCTATGACTGAAGCAAGATTAGTGTGGGAGAAAGTATTAGGGAGTTGGACTGAGAGGCTGCCAGAAATCAGCATGTATTCCTTGTGGTCCAGGGCAAGGATTTTGGTTTCATTCTTGATATATTTGATAGCTCTTGGGGGATTGAGAATGATAGGATCTGATAAAGAGCTTGCTATTTTGTTGAGTGGGAAATTGAGTATAATATTGCAGAAATCCAGACAAGAGAGTCCAATGATGTAATTTACAGGAGCAGTGGCAAAGAAGGTAGGAAATGGTTAGAAATAATCTGTTTTCCATTTTCCTGTGTATCTAATATTCAGATGTCTCATTGGATATCACTTTTTCAAATACTTTTCCTGATACCTCTTAAACTGAGATGAATCTCTGCTTTCTGTCTTTTTTAGCACATTTTTGAGACATTTAGAAATGCTGTTTTAAAACTCGTTTGGTCGCTATATTAGAGATAGTGCCTTGTTCAATAAATATTTGTTGAATAAATTAAAGTCATTTGTTAAAAATCTTACCCTTATGTTCAGCCTCCATTAGGTTAGGAACATCTTTTAAAACAAATCCTGATGCTTTTGTCTTTTTTTAAATTTTGTTGTTTCTCCATATGTTTATAAGCTTTTTGAAAGAAAACAGGTGGCATGTCTTGATGACATCATCCCTGAACTGCTGGTGGCACAATGATGCACAGTAAATATCTGGATTGGTTTTTCCAGGGAATGAAAGACCAACTGTATTTGAAATTACTGCTACCTTTTCAGCAACACTGTGCATTTTTATTGTTAATATTTTTCTTTTTTGCTTAAGTGAAACTGATGAAAGTTGTAAGAAGCACCTTGGGAGAGTGTTATCTATTTGGGAAGAAAGATCTGTTTATGAAAATGATGTATTAGACCAACTTAAGCAAGCTCTGTGTAAGTATATAACCTTTCATTTTTTACTGTGATCTCGTACTTAAAATGTTTTCTTTAAGACTTAAATGTTCTTTCAATTCAGATGGTGATAAAAAGGCTAGGAAGCGAACTTACGAACAAATAAAGGCAGATGAAAATGAAAATTGTTCCTCTCTGGGATCTCCAAGTGAACCACCACAGGTAAAAAATTTCTCTAATAAGTGAGTTGTTTTACTTTGTGTGACCCCTGAGCTTTATTAATTTTGCTGTTTCTGGGTACAAGAAAGAAGCTGCAGGAGTCTTATTTTCTGCTTAACAGATTACTCATGTTGATATACTATGTTGTATATTGCATGTTTTGCATAGAAATAATTTTGTCTAGAAAGGATTTTTGATTGTACGTTAACCACCATTTATTTATTTTAACATGTAAGTGCACTAAAATATTCTTTGTTATCAATAGTACTGTTAAGGATTTTTGTTTGTAAATATGTAAAAAATGAGTATTAGTGTGACAAGTATTCATGCAATATATATTCATACAGTTCTAACACTGTGTAGTTCTGTGCAAGAATGAGATGGATTAGAATCATTATCTTAATACTGTAAATCCTCTAGGTTCGTATAGTGTAATATTCCTTAAGCATTAGATGAAGACATTTTGAACTTTTAAGTGGGCATTGAGTCTTTAAGTTTCCTTCTTTTATGTTTGAAACATATAGGAGGGACAGATAAAATTTCAGAGGAGAAAATGAAGACATAGCCATTCTCTTAAAACAAGGTAAATATCTTCAAGGGCCAGAATAGTACAGAAGCACAACATATTATGTTGGCCAGAGCCTGTTTCCTATTGAGTTCCGGTCCAGAAGCAGATGTGGGCTGCTAAAAATTAATAACCTGTGCTGGGTGTGGTGCTGCATGCCTGTAATCCCAGCACTTGGGAGGCTGAAGCATGAGGATTGCCCTGAGTTTGAAGCCAGTCTGTGCTGCATAATGAGTTTAAAGGCCGATGAACGACATAGTGAAATTCCCTCTCAAAAGAAATAAAAAATAAAAATACTGTACTTTAAAAAGATACTACAGTGCTCCTTGAGAATTAGAGGACTAGACCCAAAGTTACATGCAATAGGAAGCTGGAAGGGGTTTTTTTCCTGGTGAAAGAATCTTCAAAGAATGATAATCGTTTATTGCCTATATTTGTAGGCTTATATTATACTTAGAAGTAGGAAAGCACAAGAATTAGACCAAGGCTATCGCCCTGAACTTGAGCCAAGGTAGTTTGCCCAGTGACAGAGCTGCAGATTGCTGAAGCCCAGTGGTTACCTTGGACTAGAGCATAAGCAGAAGAGTAGTAAGAATGTGACTTTTGAAATAACCAAACATTAACATATTATGTCTTTCCCTATTTGATAATAACTCATGACAGAAAATCATGTGAACAATGTTTCATCAGAGATCTAGATATGGTATCTCCCATTTACCTTGGTGAACAAGTAACCAGAGTTGGACTTCTTATTTCTTAGTAACCATCTGACTTGCCTAGTACTTGTATAAAATGGTATTGCTTTTCATTTTTGATACAGGGGGTCCCTTTGTAGTGAAGGCTGGCCTCTAACTTGGGAAAGTCCTGTCTCAGCTTCCCAAGTGCTGGGATCGTAGGCATATGCTACCCTATCCGCACTGTTCTTTGTTTTATTTTTAAAATTTTTTGTGGGGGGACTGGGAATCAAACCCAGGACCTCATGCTTGCCAGGCAGGTGTTGTACCACTGAGCTATATCCCCAGCCCTGTTCTTTGTTTTACATTGATCCATTTCGGATCAGTTGTGCTGCTTAATTCTCAGTGATTTAGTTTTGTGGTCATTACACCATCTTAGAATAGCAAAAGTTTATTTTTGTGGGATATGATTGAACACTCCTGTAGTAGAAAGTTTTAGACTAGTGTTTCAAGTATCTTTGGTTTCTTATTGATCCTTCATCTGACAGTGAAAACTTAGAATTAACTTATTTAAGAAGGGATGTGAAGATACGAGATTCAGTGTGTATGTGGTGGTCAGCATGTGGTGATTGCATAAATTAAAAAAAAAATTATTACATTAAAAGACACATTTAAAAAAAAAAGGGATGGGGAAAAAAATAAATAAAAGACACATTGCCAGTAATCCCCCTCAAAATACTCCCATTTCCTTCGAACCTACCACTTTCTGAAACAGTTCGTTTTGGAAGTCCTCTTGTTTTTACTGTTGTGTTGTGGCTGCCTCAGTGTCCTGCATACAACTGTCCTTCATGGCCGTTTGACTGTGGGGAAGAGCCAGAAGTTACACAGTTTCAGACCTGGTGAATAAGGCAGATAAAGACACACACCATTACGATTTTGACAGAAATTCCTGTAAACAGTGTTGGGTGATCAAAAAATATAATGAATATGGAAAAATGTTTTAAATTTATTACAGTGAAAAACAGTTAATTCCCCTTAGAAGACAGCCCTGTACACGAACTTAATTCATTGTTCTTGATAATGTGTCTTTCATTGTTTTTTAACAAAAAAAATTCAGGTGTGGTGTGTGGTGGCGCATGCCTAAAATCCCAGCACTTGGGAGGCTAAGATGGGTTTCCTACAAGTTTGAGGTTAACCTGGACTACATGGCAATACCCTGTCTCCTCCCCCAGAAAAGAAAATTTTACCATATTTTATTTTAACATAATCTTGTAGTTTCAGCATAAAGGCATTGTCAAGATCATAAAACGAGGCTAGGCATGGTAGTTTACACCTGTAATCCCAGCTCTCGGGAGGCCAAGGCAGGAGGATCATTGTGAGTTCAGGTCCAGCCTGGACTACATAGTGAGTTCTAGGCTACCCTGAACTACACAGTAAGACTCTGTTTTAACAAGTAAAAATTGATAAAGCCAGATTTCTTCTTAGAAATCTGGAAGCTTTCAGATTTTTTTTCTGATTAATTAGTTGAGTTATGAAAAAATGACTTCTTGGTAAGTCATTGCTCTAAAGCATTCTTTCATTGTAGAGAGAATATATCCTGCCCCCCCCCCCTTTTTTTTTTTCAGAACTGGGGATTGAACTCAGGCCCTTGTGCTTGCCAGGCAAGCACTTATTCTACTGAGCTATATATCCTGAGATATATCCTGAGAATCCTGAGAATCCTGAGAATATATCCTAGAACAAATATATGCATACATTTTATTTTAATTTTATTTAATTTATTTATATATTTTAATTTTTTTTTGCGGTACCAGGGATTGAACTTGGGACCTTATATTTACCAGGCAAGCAATTAGCCTACTGAGCTATCTCCCCAACCCTATATACATACATTTTAAAGAGATTAGAGTCTCAGAATTTCACGAAAGTTGGCTTTGCATTCCTGGGTGTAAGTAATCCTCCTGCTTTACCCCCTGAGTAGCTGGGACTATATGCACATACCACTCCTCCTACCTGGATGTCATCTTGATATATACTCAGTAATATTTTATATTATTAAAGTATGTATATAACTTCCTAGTGTCCCTCAATCTAGTCTTAGAAAAAAAAAACAGAAAAGAGGAAGAGGATGGAGTCTAGAAAAAAAAAATTTAAAAACAAATATTTTGTATTATAACTTCTGAAATTGCCAGTAAAGAATTCCATATTTTCTCCAAATTATAGGTAGTACAACAATAGTGAAATGTCACTTTTTCCTTCCAATTATAGTTGTGTAAAAGCAGTGCAACTAAAATATTCTAATAATAATTAGTACACTGGCTAAGCAGTGTATAAACAGTCATTAGTACACAATTTAGTGATCTTATTAACAAACCATAAGGTAGATGAAGATATATTTTATTTGAACATATGTCCAAACTACGTTTCTCTTATGCATTATAGTATTTAGGAATAGAATTGGAGAGACTCGTCTGTGTTTTAGAAGATGATTTGTGTCTCCCTTTCCCAAAATTCAGTTTAAAATATAGAGATGCTTGCAATGATGATACAATATGCAATTGGTAATATAACGATATATTATACATAAAACTTATATTCTCTAGGTTGAAGTTGTAGCCTACCTTTTTACCATTGGTATATCTGCCATATAAATCAGTCACTTATCTCACTTTAATAACTAGGTAAGTATTTTTATACTGTTTCTACCACTTCGAGTGTGGCCTCAAGGTCTAAGGGGGCCTGATCTCATTTACATTTTCAATAGCTAAGCATAGTCTTGTTAATGTGTAAAAAAAGTGAATTGTCTTAAGCACTTTATATTGGAAACTTTTAACTTTGAGTTCAGTAACTCAAAATGATTATAAATATGAAAAAATTCAAGTCATATTTATTTAAACTTTATTTTGGTGCTAAAGTTGTATAACTTTTTAGACTCTAGATCTCGTTAGAGCATTACAAGACTTAGAAAATGCAGCTTCAGGTGATGCAGCAGTTCATCAGAGGATAGCTTCTTTGCCTGTCGAAGTCCAAGAAGTATCCCTACTAGATAAAATAACAGGTGAGTCAGGAAAATGAGATCATAACTCTTGGATCCTGGGTGGGATGTGGAAAGAGATATCACTGTTTATGTTGTATATTAATTTTATTATCCTGTTTTTCTTAGATAAAGAGTCTGGAGAAAGGCTTTCTAAAATGGTAGAGGATGCTTGTATGTTGCTGGCAGATTATAATGGCAGATTGGCAGCAGAAATAGATGATAGGAAGCAACTCACTCGAATGTTAGCCGATTTTCTTCGTTGTCAAAAGGAAGCCCTTGCAGAGAAAGAGCATAAACTGGAAGTGCGTAAACTTTTCCTTCTCTAGTGCTTACTTATTTTTGGTAGGAATTCTAACATGTGAATATAACTGTACATCACACATTCTTTGGGATCATAGACCTTTTTTAGGCTGTGGCTCAGGTAAGCGCACATTAGTGTGTTTCCTTCTAGTTGAACCAAATCAACCTGCTTAAGTAAACTTTGGAATATTGCTTACGTTTGAAAGCATTTATGTATTTGAAAAGCATTCATGAAAAGCATCCATGAAATGGTAGTAATTTATCAATTTAAATGTTTACCTTTTTTTTTTTTTTAATGAGCAGAATATATTTATTGAGAGGAAGAAAGCTCCTGTCCAAGAGAGGGACAGGAGGGGGGCCCGAGTGGGTAGTTCCCCGGGAAGCTGTCTCTTCCAGGGACTTTTATAGTAAATGTTTACCTTTTAACAAAAAAATAATGGGAAAATAGCAGTTGGTATGAAATCTGATGTTCACTACAATAAATTATGATTAGATTTATTCCATTCCTTTCTTGAATACCTGCAGTTTTTAGCTATATAATTTAACCCTTTAGCTTATTTCCTTGTAAGTCAGAGATGATGATACATGCCTGTAGTCTCAGCTGTTACAGAGACTGAGGCAGAAGGATTGCTTGAGCCCACGAGGTAAGGGGCTAGCTTGGGAAATTACCAAGCCCCTGTCTCAGAAAACCCAGGTTACTCCTGTGTTCCACCCCTGATTCTGATACTTAACGTATTCACACCCACATAGGCCTCCCAGCTCATATACACTGGAAGGTAGAAAGCAGTAATTGATATTATTGATGAGTTCAGGAGATAAAAAGGAGCAGTATCATTTTTTCTTTTAGAATAACGGCCATTATAAGTGGGTAGATGAGCTAGATGTGTTTTTTTTTTTTTTTTTTTTTTTTTTTTTTTTGGTGGAACCAGGGATCGAACTCAGGCCCCTACACTTGCCAGGCAAGCGCTTATTCTACTGAGCCATTTCCCCGGCCCCTAGATGTGGTTTTAAAAGAATCCTTCAGTTGTCTAGTTCTGCTTATATTGTTTATTGCTGTAGCAATTTCCTATTTTAATGGAAGACAATTTTTAACATGAGTCCCTTTATTTAACAGTAGTTCACTGAGAATTTGTAGATATGTTGTGGTACTGTGTCTGTTAAGGTGCTTTTATTTATTGTTACTTAGTTCTTGGCTAAACAATATCTCATTGTGCTCCAAATGGTGCTTTACTTGACTTCTTATTACTACCTGGGTGAGAACTACATGATTACTCCCACTCCAGTTTTTCAGCTCTTAATTTAGCACTGTCTTTTTTCGATTTGCTCCTCCTCTACTCACGTAGGTATATGCAGTTAATGGCACTATGCTCTATCCTTGAAAAGGTTGCCCAGTTCTACATGGAAAAGAAAAGGTAGACTTTTCTAAAGAGACATATTTGATAGTTAACTTGTCAGTTTTCAGTCTTTTGGTGAAACTTCAGTCTTAAGTACGTTTCACTGTCTGCAGAATTAAAGGTAAGTAATGTTAATACAGTTTTGTCTTTAGTCTTTTGCTATGTTTTCTTTAACTTCTATTGAGCTTCTGTTGCAGATATTGGACATGGGCGTATCTTCTAATGATGTCATCACCGTTAGCATATTTTTCCTGTTAAAAATAAATATCAAACTCAAAAGCCTGTATTGTCTCATGTTTTTGAAAATTGAAGACTGAAACTTAAATCTACCTTATCCTGCTTTCTCACTTTCGATTCTGATCATTTATCACTGCTTTCAAAAACAATTTACATTTGAAATGTAAGTGTAGAAAATAGGTCAGATAACCACCCACCCTTCTGTAACCTTCTCTTTCTCCAGTGTAGTCTAGCCAGATTTCATAGTTAATATTCATGGATGCTGAGCTTATGATGGCAGTAACATTTACCATGTATTATCAGGTGTACTAGTCTAGGCTCTTCACATAATCAGCTCATTTAATTCTTACAACAAGATGTATTGCCATTTTTAGACATGGAACTGAGACATAAGGAGATAACCTAGGTTGCCCAGGGTCCCACTGATCCTAGGGGATTGTTTAGAGCCCAGGGAGTTTGTCTTCCAGAGTCAGTACACTTAGTTAAAAAAGACATTTATTTCCTGTTTTTGCCTAAAGAAATGTAAGACTAGCACAAAATGAAGTCCTGTTTCTTCAATTCTTTCTGATCCTCCACAGAGGTAATCATTGTCTTAAAATAGTGTTCTCGGGACTTTTGTTCAGCACGACTGAATTTTATCATATACAGGTATGACTGAAAAATAAGATGAATGTTTTAAATTTAAAAGAACTATCACACTAGGAGACACATTGTCATTAATCCTCTTCAGAAGATACCCCTTGCTCAGACACACATAATCTCATTTTTCTTGCTACTTTCTGAGGCAGTTCTGAACATCCTCTTTTATGAGTATCTATGAGATATGATTAAAAAATGTGGAAAATGCACTTGACAAGTGCCATCCAATGAAAAGCAGGTTTGTAAGAACATCCATCATGTCCCCATCTGCCTTCCTGTTATCTGGTGCTTCTCCAGAGTCAAAATGACAATGTAAATTGTAAATGTCTTGAATCGATGTAAAGGTAGCCGCACTAGTGCAATTAAGTCACTCAGACTTCCGTAGCTGCTTCAGAAAGTGGCAAGAATGGTGTGAGAAATGTTTTTGAGGCAAGGGGAAGTATTCAGAGGGGAATTAATGGCAATATCTTACTGTAGTAATTTCATTGAAAAATTTAAGCATTCAGTGTGTTATTAAATCATCTCAATTATATTCAGCTTTTTTTTTTTATTTATTTTTGTATTTGGTACAGGGTCTTACTATGCAGCTTGGACTCATAGTGATCTTTCTGTTTTGATCTCCCCGGTGCTGAGATTACAGGCATGCACTACCACACCCAGTTGCAGGGGCAAGCACAGCATGTGGTACTGGGGATCAAATTTGGGTCCTTCTGCTTGTCAGGCAGGTACTTAGATTACTGAGCTATCTTTCCAGCCCTGAACTTGTTTTTTTTTAGAGACAAATTATATAAACTTGGAAGTTATTCAGCATAACTTGTAAATTATCTGGAGCTAGGTAATCCTTTTGTCAAAACATAAAAATAATTTGAGAAATTCAGACATAACTTTGTACTTAGTAGAGACGTCACTTGGAAGTTGAGGCTGAGATGTGAACATTGGTATTTTCCATTTCACTTGTTCTCACACACCTTTGACCATTATCGATCAGTGGGTATTGATGGGCCAGTATTTGTTTCTTCAAAATAGGACATACATTTAAAGTATCAGTTTAGGAATTGACATTCTTTTTTGGTTGAATTGTTTTTTAGGGGAGGTTTAGTTTTTGGTTTTGGTGCCAAGGACCAAACCCAGGGCAGTACTGCTGAGCCAAATCCTCAGCCCAGGAATTGACTAATTCTTAAAGCCACTATTAAAGCATTTGTAATATGATGAGATTATGAAATTTCAAAAATTATTTAGAAATCAGTTATTTTTTACACTTTTTTTTTCTTCCTTCATTTGTGTATTTGATACAGGGTCTCACTTTGCAACTCACGCCTGTTTTTAGCCTTGCCTGGGGCTGGGATCACAGGCATATGTCACCACACCAGGACTTAGCTGCAGGCTCAGCGTGCCCCAGGAGTGGGGCTGGCACGGCATGTGTGGGATGCGGGATCGAACCCCAGTCCATGTGCTTGCCAAAGCAGGCGCTTACTCTGCTGAGTTACCTCACTGGCCCCGAAATCACTTGTTATTTTTGAATCTTGACTGGTCAGAAAATAACTTCAAGTTCACTTTGTAAAATCTGTTTCAAGGATTGCTGTAGGAATTACGTTTCACTGCTGAGAAAGTTGCAAGTATGGCAGAAGCTATTTTCTCTTTAGTATTGAACCCTAGGCCTTCATACTTCACATCTTTTTTTTTTTTTTTTTTTAATGTATTTGGTACAGAGACTCATGCAGCTTGGACTCTTAGTGATCCTCCTGTTTTTCCTAGGAGACTTGCATGAATAAGAGAAAGTAACATTGTATTTTTAATATTTTTGGCTTGGGGAAGGAACAGGGCCTTGCCATATGTCTCAGCCAGGCCTTAAACTCACTATATAGCCCAGGCTGGCTTCAAACTTGTGGCTTTCCTGCCTCAGCCTTCCTAATGCTGGGATTACAGGCGTGTGCCACCACACCTAGCTTAAATTTAAATTTACAGAGATAAGAAATTCTTCTTTGTTCAGTAAGATACTGTGTTTGTTGCTCAGTTTTGTATATTTTTCCACAAAATGGTGTAAGGAAATATGCTTTTATAAAGTCCCCATTTATCTCAAAATACATTGACCTATTTTAATAGATTTTGTGAAAAGTTTTATTTCTTAGTTTTTAGAATAGGTTTTTTTTTTTCTTTCTTTTTTTTTGAAGGGGTTGTTTTTTTGAGTCAGGGTGCTCTGCAGTTCAGGCGGCCCTTGAACTCCCAACAATCTTCCTGCCTCAGTCTCCCAAGTGCTGGGATTAAAGGTGTGCACTACCACACCCAGTTGGAATAAATTTCTATAGAAAGCTGGAAGCCATTATTTTTGGGCTCCTACAAAGATAACAAGGTGGAAATAGTTCCCAGTTCTAGAAATCAGAATGGAAAAGAGAAGATAAATGTTTATCATTTGCCATCCTATGTTAGTATATTCAGATGTACCTGATTTTGAAAAACTAGTTATTGTATGAATAGTGTGTATTTAAGCCTGATCTTTTGGTTTCACATTGCCTCCATTAAGGTATTGGCATCCATTATGACATTTTATGTTTTATAGATAAAGAACAACATTCTGGTGATTACAAGTTTGCATGGTCTTGAGTGAGTATGTGTGGAGGATTCTCAACAAGCTACAGTGTAACAGAATCAAAGAAATGTATGTTTAAGTAAGCTGAGTGTGGTGGCGCATGCCTATAATCCCAGCACTGGAGGCTGAGGCAGGAGAATTTTTG